TGGTTGCCTGCATACCTGGTACACAGATGGCGCTAGGTGACGTTTAGGCTGAGTGAAGGACTTAATAGAAGATGGGGGTTTAGGAGTTAAGGTCCTCAAATGCCAGGCTCAGGTGACTGGGGCAGCTAGGACTCTCAACACTGGTATGGGCTGCAGGAGTGCGGGCTGGTGCCAGGGAGGCTGTGAGCAGCCAGGGCTACAGAGACAGACTGGAGCTTGAACCCCAGGAGGCCAGTGCCAAGGCACACAGTGGGTGCTTGGTAAGGGACGCTGTTTTCTTCCTTATACTTTATGCCAATCCCAGTAGGTCCCAGGAGCACTTTTCCCTCCAGAGGGCTTCACCAGCTCTGCTAGAACTCAACTGTGCCAAATCCATCGATCAATACGCAATGGATTTGGTCTGTAGGCTGGGGCGCCAGGAGCCTGCCTGGCTGCCGGATCCCTGCCACATTCTGACAAGATAGATCGGTCTCTGGAATTCTTCAAGGAGGGGCAGAGAGAAGCAAGCCTCATTTTTCCCTTGTTCATCTTTAAAAATGAAATTTCAGAAAAACATAAGGGAAAAATCCTCTACTCCATGACAAGGGAAAACATGCCCTCTTGGTCTTAAGACAAGAAACTGCACCGTTTCCTTGCCATCCTCACCTGAAGCGGAGTGACCCGGGCTGTCTCCCTGAGCGTGGCTTTCCCAGAACCTATAGGCACCAGTCAAAGAAAAAGGTGAGCAGATCAGACATACACACCCTCAGGGAGCTCACAGCCAAATGTGGGGAGAGGGAGGCATCTCAGAACGGGCACAGACCTTAGAATCAGTGGAATCTGAGGCCCAGGAATGGGGAGGGTCACTCAATTGCCAAGCAGCAGAAAGGGAAGTTATCAGGAGCTTAAAGCCACATCTGATGACTCTACATTCCTCAGAGCCCAGGTGTGAATGTGAGCACATACATAGTATATGTGCATGGTATATTTGTGTGCATCCATGTGCATATGTGGTGTGTATGCATTGTGTGAACATGTGCATATTTGTGTCAGTGCACAAACATAAATACATGCATACATTTTACTGGATACTTTATTTTTATGAGTCTATTGCCTGCATGTATTTAAGTGCACCCATGTTGTACAATGCCTGTGGAGGTCAGAAGAGGGCATCGTATCCCCGGGGAACTGGAGTTATGGAGGGTTGTTAGCTGCCATATGGGAGCTGGAACTCGAACCTGGGTCCTCTAAAAAAGCAGCTAGTGTTCTTAACTGCTGAGTCATCTCTCTAGTCTTGACTGGATACTTACAGGTGCATATACATGTACACATATGTGCTTGAATAAATACATGGGTACATCACATAGTGTATGAGGGTTATGAATATACATGTATATGTTGTGTGCATGGATGGGCGTGCAGATGCAAGTGGTATACAAACCTACATATGTGCATAAACGGGCACATGTATACGCACGTGACTATGTGCATCTGTGTGGATACTCATGCTTGCAGACACGTGGTGCATATCTGGGCATGCTTGGATATGCATACTCGTGGGTGGGTATACAGAATAGCTGTATGCATGAGTCCATGGGGTGACAATGTATGTGTCTGTGCACATCTGTGAGGGCAGCAGAGTAGATGAAGGAGACTAGCTCTCCTCGGCCCCTGCAGGGGCTGGTTTGTGGCAAGTCAAAGCTGCACCCAGGGTTCATCCAGGAGAAGTGCAGCCAGATCCCCTGGCAGAGGCAGCCATGAGCTAGCACAGCAGTGAGGGCCTGGGACCCACTATCTGGACACTGTGTGGCCCTGGCTGGACCAGCCCTGCCCTTCTGGACACTACTTACAGGTGTGTCTTTGAATCCCCAGGGTGCTTCACCTCCACCTGTTTCCTCCTAAAGTGCACTAGGGGCCTCCGCAGCATGCCCCCACTTGGTGGATGACACCAGCAGGGCCTGATCCCATGCACCAGGGCACCCTCCTTCCCACTCCTGCCCAGGCCAGCTGGGCCAGCCACTAGCCACTTACAGAACAGGGTCTTTGGGGGCACATACTGCTTGCGTGCGGCAGAACCAGCTACAGCAGGCCTAATCGTCTAGACTGGACACAGGGGCTTTGGTAACTGCCTCAAACACAGCCATGGCTCCCAACCCAAAGACTGAGAACAGGCTTCTCCATTGTCACTTCTGCCTGTGGATGCTAGAGTGGCACCTCTTGGTCAAGCCAGGAGGCATGGCGAGCATCACTACAACATAGGGCCACTGTCCCCATGGCCTGGGCCACTCACTGGCAGATCTTCCAAATGCCCCTGCCAGTTTGGCCTATGCCTGGGCAGGTACCACTTGTTAAACATGAGGCTGTACAGAGTCAGGAACTGGGATGGACGATGCCTCGCTTAGTAGCCCCTGTCTCAGAAGGCAGGTCCCTCTCTGACCTGGGGAGATCCATGTTGCCACCTGCAGAGGGAGAAGCCATCTCTCCAACACTTGTGACCAGTGACACTGGCCTTCTCTGCATCCTCCCCTGGCTCCCTATACCTCCAGGACCAAGCAACCTGCGGTAACAAATACCCACATTCCTAAGGAACACCCAACCCTAGGGAGCACCCAGTCCCTAGAGAGCCTGACCCACAGAGCTCTTTCTTAATAGCCACCCTCCTACTTCCTCCAAAGATAGTGTGTGCTGTCAGCTCCTCCTGAGGGTGTCTCCCCTGCCCCACGGAGCTCAGGGCCTTGATAGGTTGATAGGACTCAAAGTGGATATGGGCAACCCGACAGTGGGCACCCCAAAGCCAACCTCCCCTCCCTCTGCAGGTGCTGACTGGCCCAATAACTACTTGGGCTCAAGTGTCCTGATGATGGTGGTGTGGTATGGGGACTTCCCCATAAAATGAGCCCCCGATGTCCTGACCAGTGGCCCGTTAGGCCTCCAGGATCAGAAGAGGCTTCAATAACCATGGTGGCTCTGCCTCCTAGTTCACACCGTTTACATGACTGCTCCTCATGAGAGCAACAGAGCCTTGGCAGGCACAGGGCCCAGATCAGGTCCATAGCCTGGAGTGTTTGATCTCTGCCTGAGCCTGGCTGGGCAACCTTGCCCTGAGCTGAGGCTGTGTGGGCCAGCCAGGATGGCGGTGCCCCAGTGAGGCTACCGGGAGAGGTGAGTGCAGGTGCTGCTAGTGAGCTCAGAGGGAAAGGCAGCCACCAAAGCAGGCCCAAGGCCCGGTACTGCTGGTAAAGCATCACTCCAATGTCCTCAAGATGACATTCTGGGCACCTGGAGCTCCTCAGCCACAGGGCTGGCAGCTCCCCTCCTTTTCCCAAATGACCATGCAGGGAAAGCCTCGGGCCAGCCTGGTGGGAAGGGTCCTACTCCAGACCTGGCACACAAATGCCTGGTCTGGGAACTCCAACTTGTCCTCTTCCTCCTAGAGACTTGTCTCCTACAGACCTGGGGCTGCCAGTATCCAGCACCGAACTCTGGATGCATGGGAGCACCCGAAACATTCACTTTCCCTTGAGCCCACTCACGCAAAACTGCCCACCATGGGGCAGTTCGGTTTGGGGTTTTTCGGGGCGCTGATTTGGGACGTTCCCTCCCACTGTTAAAAGTGGGGTCACTCGGCCTAAGGATTAAACTTCGATAACTGGACAGAACTTGGGAGCCTGCTTGGGGCTTCCACACACACCGCCGTTATGATTCATGATCCGGTAGCGCTGGGAGTTGCACAGAGGAGGGAACTGAGGCCGATTGAGGAGGTGGCTCTGCAGGGAGGAGCAGGCACCCCGAGCTCGGCAGGAACAAGCTCGGTGCGCACAGGCAGTGCTGCGCTCTCTGCCACGCTGCGGGAGGCTCGCTCTCCAATCAGGCCCCGGACCCGAGCCAGGCCCTGGGTGGCAGCGGAGACCGCACGCTCCAGCGCCAGAGCCTGGAGGAGGTGGAGGCTCGGGTCTTAGAAGGAGCTTCTAGAACTCACCGCTCAGGCCAGCCAGCGCGGAGCCCAGCCCCGCAGGCTGCAGTCGGTCCTGGAGGGGGCGCCCTCGCCGAGCGCGCGCCTCGCGCCGCCGCCCCGGACTCCTCCCCGGCGCCGCGCCCGCAGGTTCGCCCAGGCGGCCACGGGCTC